TACCTGGAAGACGAAGAACTGGCCCGCCAGCTCGTTGAGCTGGGGTACCGCGGGACGGGTGAAACTTTGCGGCGGGAGGACTTTGACGCGCGCAAAAAGATGGAGCGTGAGCGAAATGCGCAAAAGACCAACTTGCCCAAGCAGTTGGCCAGTGCTGGTAAAGACTTCTCGCAGTTCGCGTTTTTGTCGGCGTTGGCAAGTCGCGAAGAGATGGTGCGCAACGGGAAATTGACGGTACGTCGAGTGTCAAGTGCATCGTGCCGTGACGGACTTACCGCTGAGCAGTCGATCATCTTCATCCGCGATCATAACTCCAAGGGCCAAGAGGTCAGCGGCTACATCGACTACGCCCTTCGGCTCAAGTCGGAAGCGTTCGAGCCGTACTTTGAGCGAAAGAAGCGGTTGTTGCCGAAACCTTCCGACTTGAGCTACTACAATTGGGAAACGCAAACGTGTACGTCCAACTCGAGTCCAAACTTTCAGGTGGGTGGATGATTCTCTCGTCACAGGAATGAGAGACTGCCGTGGTAGGTCATTGCTGACAGCGAGACGGGACTCCTCTTCAAGAACAAGAGAGACCGGAAAGTGATTAATGTTGACCCCAAAGCCAACCCCGGCGACAACTCGACGCGCACCGAAATCAAGACGAACGAATACATGCAAGTGGTCATTTACGACCACATGACACGCCGCAAGAATTAGTTGTTGTAACGTCACCTTTCCAATTGAAAGCCAATCCATCATACGCGCGCAGTCTTTTGGCGTTTGGACGACATGCTCGTGTTGCCACAACGACGCTTCTGGAACGACTGGATGAGATCTGCCGCCGTTTGGTTGAATTTGTCCTTAATGTTGCGGTGCGGCTTGGAATGTGGGATAGATTCGACCTCTGGTACCAACTCCGCGATCGCTATAAACATATTGCATAAAATATTCCTGAAGCAACACGCATTTAGTCCTACGATGGACACATTCATGAGATGCTTCATCTATTGGAGACGTTCGATGGTCTCGGTGCGGCTTTGGAACCTTGTGTTGATCAGTACAATATACTCATACGGCATGAATAGGCTCGAAAGACTCACCTGCTCACGGTGATGATGAATTTGGTGCATCAACAATTTGTACGACTCCCGCAGCTGGCGCGTTTCCACTTCCGTGTCATAAAGAATGCCTTCTAGTTCGACGATATCCTTTTCCAACGATTCCACGCGGCTTGCCTGGCCGAGACTCAGTCTCTCGAGCGCATTGATGTTCTTGTCTTGCAGTAGAATCTGGAGCAAGTTTAGAAACTTAGTCAGTATCAACTTTACTTGTTGTTGCAAATCATTCTTGTGACGTCTGATTTGATCAAGCTCTTCTACAGGTAGAGAATGTGAGGCATGGCATACGTGGATCACTTACGATGGAGCAATTTTGGCCGATTCGCCAAATGTAGTATCACTTCTGCAAGCTGCAACGAGTTTAACTGGACAGCACTGCGCAGCAGAACGCACATGGTCCACATCGGAAGTGCTGGCTGAAAACGAGTTTGAGTTGAATTGAGTCATTGTCTGTACCTGGAACAAGATCCAGCAACTTGGAACGTTGCTGCGAGTACTCCTGCTTTAGCAAGTCGACGATATTCGTTTCCTAACACCAGTTAGTGATTTCAGAACTTGGTTTATCCATGCCTTGATGAGCTCTGCATTGATATAGTTGATCTGTTCGACGATGACGCGGACTTCCGCTTGAAGTTCCTGGTGCATGCGTTGACTTTGCATCTACAAAATCGAAGGGGTGAGGGTAACTCGGACGTATGCGCAAACCACGACTCTTTGTGTTTCCATTTTCACGCATTCTTGTGCCCAGAACTCGATTTCTTCCTTGTACGTTTCGAGGTCTCGCATCTGCCTCTCCATCTCCTTGTCTTCAGCCTCCGGCGTCTGCATCAATGTCTACACAACGAGGAATATTAATTCAGCGCAGACGCGGCCCCATCTACGCAAGCAGTGAATCATTCATGTCGCTTCATCCACCGACCATTTCTTCGTCCACCGTCGCGTCCGTCATGCACGATCCAATTTCGAAAATGCGCGCGAGGACAAAGTCCGGATAAATGGAGTTTATAAACCGGATGAATTCTGCCATGGGGACATTGTGATCGACGCCACATTTCCATACAAAGCGCAGTCGTGTTACACAGGACACAACAAGTTTGTGATGGGTGTGGCGACTGTGCTGAAGTGCATCAGCCCCACGATTCCCAAATGACAACCTCGACCGACGTTCCGGGGCTGCTGCAGTGCAAGAAGGCAGACGTGTCTCGAGCAGGCATCACTCACGTACTAGTAATTCGCGCCATGTACTCCCAAGTGCATGGGTTTCCAAGCCGAGAATTCGAGTAGAGTAGGTGATACTGTAATGCCTGTATTCCAGAGTCAGAAACATACACCAACGGCGGCGACACACAAACTAGCATGCATGCAGGCAGCAAGATTTTGCCAATCAGTGGTCACAATAGCCGTGGGTAGAGTTCCAGGCTCGGCAATCGTACTTGCTGATGGGTCCAAGCATTGGTCCGCGGCCGACCTGTTCTTCGACGAAGCGCAGTCGTAAGGTGTTTTGATGCCTGAATTCCGTTGGGGGAGAGGAGGATGTCATGGATCAAAAATGCCATGGAAGCCGGGGGTGGAAACAATATGTCCTTTGAAACAGTAAACCGATGCTCTCTCAACTTGGCCAACGTCATCGGTATATCGTTTTTAGCTCAATTACTACAGGTTATTTCTTGCAATTCGGTTTGATACCGCTACTCTCTTTCCAATCCATTCACGGAATAAAGGACCGCGTTCCGATGAACCCCGCCCCCCCCGACACTTCAAAAAACCAACCATTGAGTACAACGCGAGAAGGCATCAGTAGTCGTAATATCGGCAAACCCACTAACGTACCTCGTCACTGAGCTGATATCCTCCCTGCTTGGTCGTCGGGGCGGGCTCGGGATGAATAATACTGGCGCCCCCCATGTTTCTGCGACATGTCCAGTGGTGTAGCACCGTGGTCGAGGCACGACCAGAGTCGAGTGAGACCCGCGCGTTCGTTCGAACGATACGGTAGGATTATCTCAGTCGTGCATTGCAACTGTGTCGTGTGAGGTACCAGAGACATGTGGGTTGCTTCGCACTGTGGCCGACGCGAGTTGGCAAACCAAGGAAGAGAAACCCCGGCAAACACTGCCATGACTCGAAAGAGTTTGGGCTTGATTAAGCCGGGGATCCAACCTGCGGTTCTACTCGTGTCCAAGCCAACGTCCCTCTTCAAATCGTTCACCATCGTCCAAGACATGCAAATCAGAAACACACCCACCGCAGCCCCAATCTCGTCACGCCGCTGTGGTCACAGAACGCCCGCTTGAGAAATACGAAAAAGCAACCACCCCCAGCAAATTCAGACGCATATCGCATCAATCTGACGGATAGACCGGTGCACCCTTACGACCCCGGCTCTACGAAGACGGAACATTCCAAGAGGCATCCAGTGTGCACAGGTTTGACTCCATTGAATGACAAGAGTCACTTTTAAATTTGCGCTCGACCCCCTCCAGAACCATGAAGTTGTTTGGCGCCATCCTC